TTTGTTCCTACTGAATTCAAAAATTCATAGATTCATCCCAAACAACCGGCCAAAACCAAACCAAAACACGCCCCTGCCTCCCCCTGAAAAGGGACAATTGGGACAATTATGTATGATCTGAATAACACAGGCCAGTGAACTGCACACAGACAATTCTGCACCAAGCCTCTAACCTTTGCGTGGGCTATAGCCCAACCTTTAGGAACACATTGTCTTGATTTAAAGAGCTGGAGTATCCACACTTACCTTCCTTCCTCCCCCTTCCCACCCCCCCCCATCATCCAGTCCTTGTTAGGGACTCCGATGGCTAATTCTCCTCCCTACAAGCAGTTGGTGTCTTATTTTTAGTTTGAACCCATCAAGGTTCCGTTTGCAACCATTAGACCTTGTTATGTCTTTTTTCTGCTAGATGAAAAAGCCATCTCCAATCAGAAATCTCCTCCCCTGTGAGTACTTGTGGACCATGCTGAAGTCACCTCTTAACCTTCTCTTGGATCAACGAAGCAGAGTCTTTCTGGCCAGCCAGGCATCCACACTCCAGGCTAAGAAAGGTGAGAGCAAATTATCCTCTCTTTTCAGGGATTTTCTCCTTTGAAAATTAGCCACTGTAAACTCTTACCTTAAACGAATGCTGCTCTTTGCTTAGTTTGGACTTCATATTTCATCATTCATGAGCTGTTGCTATTTAGCAGTACTGGATACTAGGATATGGTTTTCCTGTAGGCTTGGTACATTTGGCTGTGTGTCTGGCAGCAGGATTATTTTGTCTAGAGTTTTCCCTTTTTGTTTTAATTTACTAGCTATTATGTATCCCTGTCATGGTTTTATTATGTTGCAGGGACATTTTCAGCCCTTTTTAGTTTTGAGTTGACAGTTCTGCTAATGCTGAACTGTTCAGGAAATCTGACTCTTCTGGTGGATATATATGCCATGTCCCTTTGTTTTAATGCGCTGGGTAGCATTATAATGGTTTTCAAATTACATTTGCTGTTGCATGCTCCTTCGTGACAAGTAGTGAAGTTCAGCCATTCCTACCCAAGCAAACACAACCATGACTTGATTCAGAATACAGGCTGCTTACTGCAACTTCCAACTCCTCCTCTGGCAATTAGTCCCCAGAGCCAGCCTCCTCCGCCATCCCTGTGATGACTCAGGAAAGCTTGAGAAGCACAGGGGTATCCTCAAACAGTCCGGGAGCAGTGCAGAAAGACAGGAACTGGGGCCTTCCTACACTAACACTCCTGGGCCAAATTCTGGGCCGGGCCTCCAGGAGATGCAGCCCAAGGAGACAGGTAGCAAAGGGACCTTCATGTTGTCCTTGCTCCCTGTAGGTCCAGGGGCTCTGGGGCCCCACTGTAAGCTAGAACATTCCTCTGCTATTCCCCACAAGTGACCCTCCGACCCACAGGGCTGAGAGCTCTCCTCCCTCCTTATGGCTTGATCTCCGCGGGTCAGAGAGAAGTTGTGGGGAAGGCAGGCTGCTCTGGTCTTAGAAGTCACTGGTCCCTCTTTCTCTTCCTTTGTTTCTCAAGGGCACCGAACACTCTCCCTTTACTACATACCAAGGGCTTTCCCTTCCAGCAGAGCGGTGGCTCTGGAACAGCTCACCCTCCTGCTTGGGCCATGAGAACTCCTCTCCTGCTCCTGCCTTAACCACTGGGCAATGCTCTTTGCTTTCCTGCTGCTACAGACCCAGCTGCTTGTTACAGGGCAGCTTGCCAACAGGCTGGTGCTCTCACAGCTCTGGTCAAAGAGTGAGCCCTGCCTGGGCTGAATGGGGGATCCCAGATTAGGAGCAAGGTTTGTCACTGTGGTAGGGAGCAAGAAGGCTCCCTTCGGGGCCCGAGTCAGCAGGGAGAAAAGGCGAAGAAGCTGTGGTGAGTGGGAGTGTCATGGCACAAGCATCCCCTGCCAATGTTTGTGCCTGCACCCTCTTCCTCCCTCTCCGTGGTGGATCGTCTGCGACTCAGCCCTCTAGCTGTCACGTGCAGCCTGCCTGGGATAAGAGAGCAAAGCCCTTCCAGGGTACAAGTCCAATGGGGCCTTGCTCTGTGCTCCTGGAACATCTTTCTCAAGTGGTCCCTGCTCTGCACCCCCGGATCCTTCCCTGGAGGCAACATCTTCACCCTTCATGGGCCTCTTTGGCCCCAGCTCTGCAGGTAGGTCACTAAAAAAGTTTGGTTCCCCTGCTGGTGGCAGGGAGACCCAGGCTCACCTGCTACTCCAGATCCCAGCCCAGAGACCATACTGATAGCCACCCTGCAGTGCTCCCTTATGCTGCTCTAATTCCCTGAATCACTGCCCCATGGCTTTAGCACATTCTTCACCCCCATCTCAGGGCTTTGTCCTGGTTTAGTCCCAGCAGCTAGCCCAGAGCACCTTCACATTCCCCTCAGCCTCGCCTCGCCTCGCCTCTGTTACTCTAGCAAGGAACTGAGCTCATGCTGGCCCTGCAGCTCTTCTTATACTAGCCTGCTGGGCCCTGATTGGCTACTTCCCAGACAGCCACTCTACGCTGCTTGGAGGACCTCTCTAGTGCCCTTTTACTGTGGCAGGGTGTGGTGGGGTCACCAGGTCTCCAGCAGCTGCCCTCTGGACCTAGCCCACCCCATCACAGGAGAAAGCTGTTCAGGAATGGAAACTTGGGAGAAACCCTTGCAAGCTAGAAAGGCTGGATGGGATAAAACCTGAGTTTGTGTCATTCTGGTTTAACCAGGCAAAGAGAGTGCGTTTCTTGAGGCTTACTGGGCTAGTAGGTATGGTAGAGTGACCTATGTTTATGAGGGGGTGGCTGGGAGCCTGTCACATGACTTTGCAGTGTCCCTGTGCCTGAAGGAATCATAGGGGGTATTGCTCTGCTCCAGGGAATTGAAGAGCTGGTGAAATGCAAAGGAGGCTGCCTCACCTCAGTGGGTAGAGGAGGCGGCCAGGATGCTCTCCCTGAGGTGATTGCAACTGAGGCAACAAGGAGTATGAGGGGGGGGAGAGGGGGGGGGGGGGGGGGGGGGGGGGGGGGGGGGAGAAGGGCATCTGGGAAAAGCATCGGACCAGTGAGACCCAACTCTGAGGCAGAGCTGTTGGAAATGTTCTAATTATCACATGTTCAAGAAATCTTTTAGGTCAAGAAAATTCAAACCTGACCATTTGTGTTAACATTTAGGGGAGGAGGGTAGCAGGGGGAGTTAGACCAACTGCAGAGCTGGCTGAAATTCTTTGATGGTCAAAAAAATTGTCAAAAGTTTGACATTCCCAGCTTGCTTTTTTAAAAACTGGTAAAATATTTGAAAAATTCCTACCAAACTTGCTGCTGTTGTTTTCACTCGCTCTGCATGAGGGTTTGCAGGGGACAAGGGGGCCTAGTCCCTTACCTCTTCTCCCTTGTAGTTTCCACAGACCAGTTAATGAGAAACCATCTCTCAGGCATGAATCTCTCTCTCTCTCTCTCTCTCTCTCACACACACACCTCTCCCCAATGCTCTGTGCGTGCGCACACCCCCCCCTCTCCCCAATGCTCACAGGATTTTATTTTTGTCACTAATTTTACATTTATATTAATGAGCTGAATCAGTTGCTGCCATTTCCGTGTATTTCTCTACAACGCTTTTTTTCCTTTTTATATTTTAGTTCATAGTTTCTCCAAACAAAGTTACTTTGGTTCCAGACTTCAATGTCCCTCTGGGGGAATTAGATTGATATCTCTTAATTAATAGAGTCACAGGATTTTATTTTTGTCACTAATTTTACATTTATATTAATGAGCTGAATCAGTTGCTGCCATTTCCGTGTATTTCTCTACAACGCTTTTTTTCCTTTTTATATTTTAGTTCATAGTTTCTCCAAACAAAGTTACTTTGGTTCCAGACTTCAATGTCCCTCTGGGGGAATTAGATTGATATCTCTTAATTAATAGAGTATTTATGACACTATATCTAGACTGGTCAGTTTTCCTGTTTGGCCAATCATATATATAGTAGCCCAGCGTCTGAGAGTCTGTAACGCCGAAATGCTGGCTGTTCCCTCTGGGCGGCCCGTGCTGCTTGGGGAGTGTGGGGCCCAAACGGCCACTTGCTCCCCCGCGGTGGCCCGGCTGAGTGGCACAGAAGTCAGCCGAGTGCCATGGAGGGAGGGGAAGGGGGGCAGGGCTGTGACGTGCGGCGTGACAGCGGCTGCAGGCCCCTCCCCCTGGCCGTGAATGTCACCGCCCCACCCCCCTTCGCCTCCCACCATGGCGCTTGGCTGACTTCTGCGCCGCTCAGCCGGGCTGCCATGGGGGAGCAAGTGGCGCAAGCAGCCATTCGGGCTTTGTGCTCCCCATGCAGCACGGGTAGTGCAGAGCCCAAACAGCTGTTTGAGCTCCGCGGTCCCCCGAGTGAGAGGCAGGAGTGGGAGGAGAAGAGAAAGAGAGAGACAGAGAGAGAGGCAGGAGGCGGAGGAGAGCTGAGAGAGAGGGGGAAGGGAGGCAGTAGCAGGAGGAAAGAGAGAGAGAGAGAGAGAGAGAGAGAGAGAGATGGAGCGAGAGACCGGACGCTCAGGAGAGAAGACCGACGTGGAGAAGAGACCTGAAAATCCCGTCTTATGACGGGCTAATTGGCTAGTTCATAAGAATAGCCAGGCTGGGTCAGACTAAAGGCCCATCTAACCCAGTGTCCTATTTTCAACAGTGGCCAATGCCAGATGCCCCAGAGGGAGGGAGCACAACAGGTAATCCTCATGTTATCCCTCCCTTGTCACCCACCTCACAAGACAGAGGCTGGGGACACAATTTCTACCCATCCTGGCTAATAGCCATTGATGGATCTAACCTCCGTGAATCTATCTAGCTCTTTTTTAAACCCTGTTAAAGTTCTAGCCTGCACCGCATCCTCTGGCAAGGAGTTCCACAGGTTGACTGTGCGCTGAGTGAAGAAAAATTTCCTTTTGTTTGTTTTAAACCTGCTGCCTATTACTTTCATTTGGTGACCCCTAGCTTTTATATTGTGGGAATAAATAAATAACTTTTCCTGATTCACTTTTTCTACACCAGTCATGATTTTATAGACCTCTGTCATATCCCCGCCCCCCACTTAGTCTCTTCTTTTCTAAGATGAAAAGTCCAAGTCTTTTTAATCTCTTCATAGGGGACCCATTCTAAACCCATAATAATTTTTGTTGCCCTTTTCTGAACCTTGTCCAATGCCAATATATCTTTTTTGAGATGAGGAGACCACATCTGTACGCAGTAGTCATGATATGGGCACTCCATGGTTTTATATGGAGGCAATAAAATATTTTCTGTCTTATTCTCTATCCCTTTTTTAATGACTCCCGGCATTCTATTTGCTTTTTTGCCTGCCGCTGCACATTGAGTCGATGTTTTCAGAGAAGTATTCAAGAGAGATCTTAGAATGATTGTGAATAGCTTTAGCCAAATTAGTCCCCATCATATTGTGTGTATATAGTTGAGATTATTTTTTTCAATGTGCATTACTTTGCATTTATCAACTTTAAATTTCATTTGCCATTTTGTTGCCCAAATACTTAGTTCGGTGAGAACTTTTTGAAGCTCTTCAGT